TTATGGATCTCTCAGAGATGAAATGTTACGAGACAAAATTATGATGGGAGTGGCAGACCAAGCTTTAAAGGAGTACTTGTTCCGGATGGCGGAACCAACACTAGAGAAAGTGGAGAAAACATGCAAGGCGGTGGAAGCAGCTAAGACGAACGTGAAGCTGGCAGCTAAGTCACAAGAAGAAGTACTAGTACAGGCAATCCACAAGAACCCAGAGAAAGAGCAACGCAGTGAATCCAATCAAGGTAAATCCAACGCTAACAACATACGACAACAAAATAATGATGTACACGCAAACTTTCAAGGTAATGTCAATTACATTCCCAATAGTGATGTTAGATATAATCCCAATAGCAGTGCTAACTTCAGTTCCCCGAACGTTTATGGTGTCGCCAGTTATAACCCAAACAACAATGTAAACTATAGGTACAATAATGCTAACTACAATCCAACTAATCAACAACATTTCAGACCAGTTGAATACCCTTCGTTTCAAAATATAAATGTTCCGGGTCAATCTAATCAGTCTCAGATGTCACAATACCCCTCTCAAATGCAAATGGTTCAATATCAACCTAGAATGCCCAATAGTTTTACTAATGTATACAGATGTAAAAAATGCAACAGAGATCATGTTAGAGGTCAATGCCCAGCACATAATCAAGTTTGTAGAAGGTGCGGGGGCCTACATCATTTTGCAAGAGGGTGTCGAGTTAAACCTAATGTACCTGCAACACCTAAACATCAAAGTAATACAGATTCTATACAGAAAATTGTAGATGCTGTTAATCAGGATTCAGATTTAGTGCACTATAGTCCTAAAGACTTTCATTTCAGCATAGACCATATGACAGTTTCTGTGCCAGACAACGCTCTAAAAACAAAATTTCCTTGTGAAAGCCCAATTGTCAGTAAAATGAATATAGCAGAAAGCCCCGATAAATCTTTAGAAACCTTTGCAATATCCAACAATGGTAGAAAAGAATGGAGGCAGGTCATACAAATTGAAGGCATCCCAGTTGATTTTAAGTTGGACCCTGGTAGTGAGGTCAATACGTTACCAATGAGTATTTTCAATAAAATGAAAGCCAAGCTGGAGAGCACAGGTCAGACTTTACGGGGAATAGGTCACACAATTGTGAAGCCATTAGGTGTAGCTGAGCTTAATGCAATGACACCATGGGCTAAAGGTCAATTTCCTTTTTTCATAACCAAAGATGAAGAAACCAAAGCATTGTTAGGCATTGAGGCATGTCAAAGCCTAGATTTAGTTGTAAGAAAACTACACTCAATTTCTGTAATTGATGCTCAGTACAGAAAATTCGTATATGATAACAGAGACTTATTTGAAGGTTCTGGCAGAATGCCTGGTAAGTTGGTGTTACAAATTAATCCAAATGTTCAGCTAGATGTGTTACCGCCAAGGCATTATCCAATAAAACTGTCAGAGAAATTTGTTCAAAAACTAGAAAGCCTAGAAATGAGAGGAATTGTGGAGAAAGTACCGCCAAATGAAGCAATCTTGTGCGTCAGTAATTTATTGGTCAGAGAAAAAGAAGATGGAGACCTAAGATTATGCTTGGACCCTCAGAACTTAAATAAGTGCCTTGTGCCAAGAAAATTTTCACTCCCCACCTTGGAAGAAATAGGTGCTAAATTAGCTAATAAGAAATGGTTTACCATTTTTGATCAGAAAGAAGGTTTCTATCACTATGAATTAGATGAATTTTCCAGCAGGCTATGTACTTTTAATACCCCGATTGGTTTGTATAGATTTAAAAGACTCCCATTTGGAATAAATGGTGGATCAGAGTATGCACAAGAACGTAACACAACAGCGTTTAAAGATGTTGAAGATCTTTTAATTTTTATTGATGACTTCATCATAGCATCTAAAACTGAAAAGGAACATGATGAAACAATAACCAAATTTGCAAACGTCGCTAAGGAAAACGGTGTTAAATTTAAACTGGCAAAATTCCAATATAAAAAACCATCAGTTAAATTTGTAGGTTTCGTTTGGTCTGGAGAAGGAAGAGAAATAGACCCAGATAGAGTAAGAGCTCTCTATGCGATAAAGGATCCCACGAACAAAAAAGAACTCATGAGTATTTTGGGATTCATCAATTATGTTAGAGATTTTGTACCTAATTTGTCAGGAGATTCAGCTCCACTAAGAGAGTTATTAAAGAAAGATGTAAATTTTGCGTGGAACTCTTATCATGCTAAAATTTTACAGGAAATTAAAGATAAAATTGCGGCAGCATCCGCCCTGTGTAACTTTGACCCAACGAAACAAATAACACTTCAATCGGATGCTTCGAAATCAGGTTTAGGTGCCTGTCTCATGGCCGATGGAAAACCAGTTGCTTATTTTTCCAGAGCTTTAACTGAAACTCAACGCACTTCATGGGGCCAGATAGATAAAGAATTCTTTGCTATTGTATCTGCTCTAGAGAAGTTCTATCAATATTTGTATGGCAATGAAGTAAAAGTGGAATGTGATCATATGCCAATTATACATTTAGTTAAGAAGCCAATTCACAAAATTAAATCCAATCGCTTAAAAAATTTTTGTCAAAGATTGTATAACTTTAGAATTAGAATAATCTTTAAGCCAGGCCGCAAAATGGTCATCGCGGATTTGCTATCTAGACAGTATTTAAATGATCCAGTGCAAGATGACCCAGAATTAGACAATTATGTTCATTCATTAAATATAGAAGAATTAGATACTCAAAATGATCTTCAAGAATTCCAAATTTCAACTAAAGATGATGCGGTCTTAACACATCTCAGAGAATACCTATTAAATGGTTGGCCTGATAGGAAGGAATTGTGGCCGGACGAGTTAAAACCCTTCTGGAAAATTAAAGATAGCCTATATCTAAGTGACAATAGCATAATATATTATGATGACAAAATTGTTGTTCCGTCTAATCTCCGTCACAAAATTCTAGCGCTTCTTCATAAAGGTCATTTCGGCATCACAAAAACTATGATGAAAGCTAATGAATTATATTACTGGCCAGGAATGGCAACTGAAATTGTAAACTTCTTGCGTGCTTGTACAGTCTGTGAAAAATTCTCACCCAATAACAAAAAGCAAAAATTGTTACAAATTCCATTACCTGAAAATGTATTTGAAGTCATAGGTCTTGACTTTGCTGAAATAGGTAAAAGTTACTTAATTTTAGTAGATTACTTATCCAAATGGATGGAGATCTTAGAAAGATCCTCACATTCCGCTCAATCAGTTATAACAGCCTTAAAACCAATATTTGCAACTCACGGTTACCCAAAAATTGTAATATGTGATAATGTACCCTTTGATGCAGCAGAGTTCAAAAAGTTTATATCTGACCATAATGGTAAGGTGGTAACTACCAGTCCTTGTTATCCACAGGCTCATGGGATGATAGAAGTATATGTAAGAATTGCTAAAAAGATTATTTTAAAAAGTTTGGAAACCAAAACTGATTTATATGAAATGTTACTAGAATATAGAAATATGCCACTAGCCAGTGTAAATGTTAGCCCAGCCCAAATTTTACTAAGCCGCAGGCTTCGCAGCAATCTACCCATTGATTCAAGGTTACTAAAACCCAAAATTTTAAATTATAGAACAAGAATGGTAGAAAACCAAGTCAGAGTTAAAGAACTGTATGATAGACATGCCCCAAGAGCCCCACAAAGTTTTCAAAATGGGCAAATTGTTGCAATTAAGCAAGGGAAATTTTGGGAGAAAGGAACCATCTTAAACCATGCGGATACCCCAAGATCCTATTGGATAAAATTAAACAATGGAAATGTAATCAGGCGTAATGACTTTCATATAAAAGTTTCGAGTACTTCTACTCCAGCCCATGATCAACGACACAATTTTTTATTTGATCCAATAGAACAGGATGACCTCCCTGAACAACCTGCGGATAATCCGCAACCACCTATAATTCAGCAAAATTTACCAATCGAACGTCCAATGCGTGATCGGAAACTGCCGGTCTGGATGGCTGATTATTGTTAAGTTCATTATACTTGTAACTTCTAATAAAATTTTCAAGGGACCATATTAAGTAAATCCCATTCTCTTCATTCGACAAATTCAATTCTCAGTATTACTTAATTAAAACTCAATAAGAGTAACCAGTATTTCTTTAAAAAATGTTCTGTAATCAATACTATGTAATGTTAAAACTTTCAAATGAATAATCTGTAAACTATTCTATAAATACTCTCATATGAGTATCTAAATGATAAGTAAATTTTCAATACTCAAGGCGGATAAAGAATGGTGGTCGCATTTCGATTTTGGCTGCCATCTTGAAGCGTTGTGACGTCAGGAGGGTACGGGTTATGCCGTGCAATCCGAGGTTGAGTCGGCCCCCCCGGCCTCGGCCAGCCCATGTACCCGATGTACCCGATACCGTGTGACGTCCAGAGGGTACGAAATGCGACCACCATTCTTTATCCGCCTTGTTCAATACTGTTCTCTAATCCCGACGCTATGATGCTAAAAAAGAAAAAAGGGGAGATGATGTATCTGTATAACTTGATGCATATGTATCCGGGCGGCGCTCAAGCCAGAACTCAAGCATAGGAGCGACCCATAACTAACTCCATATAGAATGCCTAGAATGCCTCGTGTTTCATGTAGCAGAACTGTGAAAGCCTCTTTTTTGTATTTTCAATAAAACCCCAGTCTGTCATCTCAACAATATCATTGTGCTTATTCTCCCGTTTTCCTTCCGAAACTATACACAAATCAAAATCTCCATTCTAAATGATTCAATTCATAATAATCACAAGTACTCTTACATCATTGCCTCATTCATTTTCGAAATTGCCGCCTTCAATGGATCTCATCTTTTAACAATGCTGATTGGACGACCAACCGCTCATTAGAAGAATGATACGAGAGTACCATCCCTGATATGTCACTTTATATGTCACCCTCTTTCGCAACCAATCGCAATTTTTGCAAGATGTAAACATAAACAAAGAACCGTCTGATAGTGAGTCATTGAATGGAGGATGTAGGAAAGTGAACTAATAGAATAGAATTCGAGCTCTAGAAAGAAATTAACCGATTATAGTACTTCAAAAAAGTTAAGATTCGGGAATCATTCCTTTTCGAAAGTCACGTTTGATTTATCTGAGTTTGTGTTATTTTAGATCGTTGTTAAAGTACTATTTACGTCAAACCTAGTGAACTTCGCCGTGCTTTTCCCATTTTTTGCAACGATTCTTGAACCTTATCAGTAAACGTGTTGTTGATTCTTGTTTAAGTGTTCCAAAATGGATGAGAACTCTCTGAAACTTGAAGACTATGTTCTTCGGGTGCACGAAAAACTGAATCATGATCATGTAAAGCTTTGGCTTGAACCGTACCATGAAGTGACTGATAGTAAAATAAGCGATGAAGCATTTAACGTAAGAAATTTTTCCACCTCTTAAATGAATCGCACATCCCCTGAAACATGTCTTTGTCTCAAATCGTTAGAACTGACTTGATCAAATGTGATGCAATGGCCAACTATGTCAAAAAAGTATGATTGAACCCAAAGCATGGCCTTAATCTCTTTATGTTGTACATACTTATAACTGCAGTTTCAAAAGAAAAGTAGTTAATTATCTGCTGTGCATATCGGAGTTACTTTTCAAAACAAATACACTGTGATTACATCGAGCTAATTTCCAATTCTGATCAGCCATCAGTGCTGTCCAAGTTATTGTTCTCCAAGTTTATAGTTAAGTACTGCCGATATAATACCAGGTCACAGCATCAGAATAATCTGAAAGTTCTACTTACTCATTTATAGGTTTGTTTTACAAGTTGAAGAGATTATATGAAATGTTTTTAGTGAGTTGACAATGAAACATATTTGAGGTGATAGTCTTATTGATGAAAGTAGTGTTTTTCATAGATATAAGTAAGTACTGGGTTTACTACATAACTTGAATGTCTAATTTTCAACAAATTTAAACTTTAAAAACCAAAGCTGCCAAATTAAGCAAGCTAACAAAGTTATCCTCAATGTTCAAATCTTACAAGTACATTAAAGGAAGTACTTGAGTATATCAGAAAGATATGGTCTGTCAAAACACACTTTTAATAATGGAAAGTATTTTTGTGTAATACCTGTTGAACTGGTGCATTCTGTTATTTCTATTGTATTTCTCTCCTTCATTTTTGCAACTGGAAAAAATAGTGAAAAAATATAGCGGACCCAACTCACCTGCCCCTCTCCTTTGCTGAGGCAATATGATGGTATTTTAAGAGGTGGTGTAGAAAATTATTGAAGGCTCCTCATTCTTCATTGAAGAAGGGGCGCTAATGACACAGAACGAGAGGTCAGGATTTGGTATTCAATCTCTACAGCTTGCGGATTCTTGTTGCGAATAGGTAGTCAGTCGGTCAGTATAACTCTTCCGTCCCTTCCATCCAAATTACCCACTTTTACCTTCCTATTAGGAGTGTGTTGATTCGAGCTCAATATATTCTTTAATCAACACAACTGTTAAATCTATGTTTTTTTAAAGATTGTAATGAATGGATTAAGCACAATTGAATGATTTTGCTTTCAGAAATTAGCCAGAAAATATAGTGAAGAGCTAGCTTTGGATGAAAAGATTTGCAAGGAAGCATTACTGAAGCTTCAGAACAATGCCCTCTCAAAATTAAAAGAAAGGAAGTGCTTTGAGGAGACTGGGAATGCAACGATTCACGTGAAAGTATCTGGAATTGAGACAGTCAAGAATACATTCTCAGTATCGGCAAGACTTAGTGATTTTGTTTCAAGCATAAGAAATCAGATATCAGAAATTACAGAGGTGCCAGCTGACAGGTGAGCACTCATGATTCAGTGACTTTCAGTCATCTAAACGAGTACAACAGGAACTGGTCTTCATGCAAGTCATGTATGTTTGAGGAAAAGGTGTTTCAAGTAAGATTCCTCATTGTTGAAATTTGGTATAACTATTCCTGCTACCGCCAATAATGACAGATGTTCCGCCAAAAATGTTTTAAAATCTCAGGAGTTGTGTCAAAAAATCAAAATCCAATCATCTTCTTTACACTAACCTTTGCACAGGAAGATTCTATTCAAGGATAGGTACTGATTTTATGCTTCAGAAGGCGTATTGTAGGATGCAGTTAACAGAATTGCATTTCGCTTAAGACAGTTCATGGTTCTTACCAAGTACACATCAGTGTCACCAAGATTGATGCTCAATTCGCGCTTGTGATACTTTGACCGGAACGTGATGAAACCTCCTCAAAATTTTGACAGGAAGTCCGTGCCTTTAATTAAATTGTCCAAACTCTAATGGTCAATCAGGACATTTCTAAAACAACAAGGACACCCCTTATGCAGATAAATCTCTTGTTCCCTGGAGTTATCAGTTCCCCTTAATTTGTGTCCTTAATCTTTTCCGAGCTCTCCCTTTTCCCATCAACTCTGATCTAAATTGAACTCAGGTAACTAATAGCTTTTACAATATGTATCAAACTGTAGATTGTATTTAGATGTATCTTTTTTGCTTTCAGGATCAAATTAATCGCTAAAGGTCTTGTTTTAAGCGACGATGAAACTCTCACCTCCCAAAAAATCCAAAACGGCTCTCATGTAATGGCAGTAATTTTGTATGGAAACTCATCTGAAGTTTCTGTAAGTATATTGCCTTTTCCTGCATCTTATTGCATAAGTACCCATGTTCACCAAATCAAATACTGCTTTGCTGATTTTTGATCTTTGCTGTTTTACATCAGAACTTATTATTACGATCTATTCTAGTATTGTAGAACAATTCTAAAATGCATCTTAAAAGTTGCCAACCCAATTAGATTGCATCTAGCAAAAAGGAACCAAGAGCATTCCAATGTCGCTAAGATTGTGCAACTTTTCTCTCCTTGCAAATATAAACTGAATTAGCAAGTTTTATCTTGACTCCCAAAAAACTATAAATTCAAGACAAAAATTACCATTGTGAATTTAATTTTTCGCATGATTTCTGTAATTTTATAGCAAAGAATGTAAGTTACACAATCCTAGCAACATTGGATTGCTCTTGGTTCTTTTGTGCAAAATGCAATCCAATTTATCTGTGAGGAAAGAGCGATAGAACAGGTCATAGGTCAAGTAAATGTTAGGGTATGATAATGTTCACAAGAAACGGTAGAAAAATTTGGAAAAACCTCTGAAAAACTTCACAAAAATCAAACCTGCTGAGAGTTCTATGGCAGTCTTTGAATGTGTTCTTGAGTTTGAATCATAAGAGTTGGAGATTATGCATCAAGGAGTGATTTATCTAAATCCGTATTTTCTAAAAGAATCTTTTTTTTCTCTCAGGATTTTGAAAAGAGAAGGAAAATTGTTGAAGACACCAAAGCTGATGTCAGTCTGTTAGCTGGGAGGAGCAACGAGAACAGAGATCTCTATCTTCAGGTCTGCATGTTAATCATTCATTGAATTGTTAACAATTTAAGTCGTTTATTGACTTTAGCTGGAAGTTTGAGTAATAACAATTCAATAATTTTTGGCCACATCTTCGAAATGTGGTATTTTAAAGGGTCAAAAGTTAAAGTCCACCTCTCCCCCCCTGGACTCTCATTAAAAGTTTCTCTCTTTTGGTAAGTTTCTTTTCTTTTGATTCTCAAAGTTTTCAATGAATTGTTAACAAACATTTATGAGCATCAGTGAGTAAAAGTATGGGAGAAACAAACATTAGGTATTGAGGAAAATGAGCGAATCTGAGGAAGGGTCCTGCAATTCCCTCTTTCATAATTCTGTAGATTTATTCTGCTGTGCCAAGGAAAAACGCTGTATAAGCCTTCAAACGTTACATGATTTCCTGTGATAAATCATGAATTTTCTGGTGAACACATGAATATTTTTCCCTAGATTGTTCAGATAATTTTGTCAGAAGTTTAATTTAAAGTTTCTGAAAATTTGTATAAAAAATATTCATAACATCCCTAAAAAATAAGTATTTTATCGGGGTTAAGTTGGCAACGTTCGAACCTTAATGCGCTATTCCTTAGCTCAGCAGTATTGATAACAGATCCAGTTAAAATTTACCAGCCCCCAAAAGTGGGTCCTCATTATTCATTGAACTGCTGTCGAGAGTTTTTGATCCAACAAATTGACAGTTAAAATGCAATTTTTCCCGCCATGAAAGCAGAACTCATTGTGACGTTATTACTTTTTGCTCCAGGTCACTGATCAAAAAGGTGAAACCTTACAACTGCCTGCTTGGGAGAGAAAAGCTCTCGTGACGGCTATGACTCTTCATGAAAAAGGAAGAGCAGCCCTGAAGAGGGAGGATTACGCTTTAGCGCTTGTTCTTCTTCTTGAAGCTGATCATGAATTCAGGTTTGTCTTGAAACTGATTGCTTTACTCTGCCAAATCTTAAATTAAGTGGCAAATCATTTTTACGCTGGAAATGGCGATTATAGTTAGTCATGTGAATGTGCAGTACAGTAAACAGCCGATCATTCAAACTACTTGGGGCTGGGCTTGTTTCGGATAATTGAAAATTTTGTACACTCTATCAAACCCAGGGCTGCTGGCGGTCTGAAAAACCGGGAAAGTCAGGGAATTCGAAACAATGCAGGAAAGTCAGGGAACTCGTAACGACCAGGAAAAGTGAGAGAATTCATGGGAAAAAGCAGGGAATTTCTGACGCATCTACCTATCAAAGTCTAGCAAAAGTTGGCAATTTTTTTTTTTTTTTTTTTTTTTTTTTTTTTTTTTTTTTTTTAAAATAGATGGAAATTTTGTTCTAAGATCAGGGAAATCAGGGAAAAGCAAAAAAAGTTCGGGAATTTGAAAATTAAGAAATAATGGCAACCCCTCAGTCACAACAGTTGAAAGTAAGCAGTAATTACTTACACAAGGCAAGTATTCTATATAAATATACAGTGACCTTTGCATTATCAGATGTTCCACCCTACCCAGTCGGTCAGTTTCGAGATTCGGCCGCACCTACTTGACAATTAGCCTGGATAATACTGTGTTTGAATAATCTTTTTCCAGGGAGTTTCTTTATCAGTAAATTGCATTGGGCCTTGTCACCAAAGGACACTTTTATGTTTTATGCCAGACGAATTGCGCACCTTAACTTCAATAGACTCTAACTCTCTCAAGCTTATTTACAGCAAAGACAAGATGAAGCTGCACTTCTTGGATGTCCTATGCCTTGTTCATTTGTCTATGTTCTTTTATTTCTTTCTCAGGATTCTAAATAGGGAATTGTTGTCAGTACAACTTACAGCAACAATTAATTCTGCTACCTACAAAACTGTATGAGAAGAAGACTAGCTACCCAATTTCTTTGCACAAAATTATTCTCTCTCTTTTTAGAAGGATCTTATTTGTTTTTTTCTGAAATTTCAATATTGATGTAAACTATGTACTCATAAGAAACGGAGAAATTAACTTTGTCACCTGCACCAAAAATAAATAAATGGGAGTATTATAAGAACTCTCTTTTGACTGGGCACAGTCGTTCACTTGTTTTTACGTACCCCCAAGCATGTGGAGATTATAGAGTTTATGATTTCATTATTTCCTGCTGTTTAAATGTCAAAATTTCACAAGTCATCCAGAAGCATCGTATGCAAACCATATCATCAGCATACTTTTATGTAATGAAGTTGACGTGACAATGTTAAAAAAATGCATTTCTTCTTTATGACTGCATAGCAACAAGTCAAGCGTTTCTTCTGATTTCAGGACATGCAACTCAGAACTACTGAAATCCGTGGACAACTACGCTGTCCTGAATTTAGACATAGCGTGGTGTTATCTAAATTTGCAGAGTGTAACACAATTACCAGAGGCTGATGCAAGACTAAAAACCTGCGAGGAGAATTTTCATCGCAGTTACGGCCCAAATCTAGAGCGCTTGGTTGCATTAAAAGGAACTTCAGGTTTAACATCAGTTTTTTATTTTTTTTTCTGTACTCACATTTACTGCAGTTATTCCACTTCATTTACCCATTAACTTGCTCTTTTACCATCTCCCAATTCTTGAGAGGGCTTAAAGAGACTTTAAGAAAACAGACCTTTTTTATGAAATCTTTTGATTGAAATGAAATTTCACCAAGGGCTGTCCGTAAATTATGTAACATCGGAGGAGGTGTCCTCAACTATCGCTGTGCAAAATCATAAGAGGGTGAGAGAATGTTAAACAGAGCATTATTTAGAAAATGTTCATACATAATTTTTAACAAGAGAAATAACCCCAGTATCTGCAGTAGAATTCTGTTCTCTATTTATTGTTTTTCAGTGACCCAGGACACTTTTTCTCACTGTTTAGGAACACTGACCCACTTGGCTACCTTAACGATGTCTGTTGTAGCATTTTTAAAAAACTGGGGAGAAGCGAAGAAATCCAAAAGTCCAAATACGGTTTCTTTTTATGAACATCTGATATTTATAAAACTGAATTTGAAAAAAGCCCCGGTCAAAGGACATTAATCCAAGACCAAAGAGTTTTTTTTTTCATCAGACATTTAGAAGGATTTCTAGGTCTAAATTTTAAGATGCTCCCTGCAACTTCATTCACCTCAAATCTCCTTCAGGGTGCCTCAAATACATACATTCATGAAAATTACAATGCGTATAAAGTTTAAACCTTGAAGATTTCAAGTGAAAGAGGTTTTCAGGAGTTTTTTAAAGTTTCGACCTAGAAGTAACAAGTAAACATGATCTTATTTTTTTTCAAAATATTTACACACTATCACCCAAGGTTGCCAAGTTCTGTGATAAAACGCTGATATGTTACATATGTTTAAATGGGGGAAGTGCTGATTTTTCATCACTATCTGGCAACAATGTTACCTGCATTATTTGTCTTACGCACTCACATTGCCTAATTTTCTCTGATATTTTATTTTTTTTAACTGGAACCTCGAAACTTAAAATTTTATGAGTATATCTTTCATAATTTTAGCTGAATTCACAAAAATGTTGAAGGCATTGAGTAGATTAGTTCTCAGTTTTACAAAATGAGGTATGAAGGAAAATTAGGCAATAAGAAAAAGTTTATTAAAGTGCCTCTGCAGGCATGTCCTTTTCCATTTTCCTTCATAGATAAGCCTTTTTGTTGTAAATGGAGAACCTGTCACCATAAAATTTGGCCTTATTCATTGTCTCTCTTCTCTTATTTTTAAGGGAATGAGGCTGCACTATTTATGCGACTGCACTTGTTACAAGGGATCATTTTGTACCATCAGAACAAAAGAGATCAAGCCATGCAAATTCTCAAGCGAGCTGAGAGCGAACTCAATGCCCTGAAGGTGGATGACGAAAGTTTAAGCTTGCTTCTTGAATTAGGTATGTTACCCCTTTTTTAAAATTTCATTGCAAAATAAGTCGGAAAAAAAATTGAGTCTAAAGTGAAAATGGTCTTACATATCGGCTTTAAACCCTGATATTTTACCATTCCATGTGCCGACTGATTAGTGCAATTGATAGACAACACTGGAAAAAAAACACATTGGATCTAGAGTCCAGACTCTTGAAAACATTGACAAGAAAAAGGACTCTTGATTCAATCAGATTTAAGCTTAAATCTAAAGGAAATCCGCTCAAATTAAGAGGCTTGGTTCTTAATTTAAGCTTAAATCTGATTGAATCAAGAGTATTTTTTCTTCTCGATGTTTTTAAGAGTCTGGACTCTAGATCCAATGTGTTTTTTTTTTCCAGTGAAAGGAAAAATGGTGCATTCAAGTTGGTTGAAACAGGTGGTTCCTCTAGACCAAGAAGTAAAAAGATGGACTAATTATAGGGCCTCTTGTGGATTTCCCTTAGTCCATGCCTCTCCTCTGTTGTCCATCGCAAACATCTGCTTCTACCAATAGGATTGCTTTATTCCTTTGTCTTCATTGTCTATCACTTTGTCGGTAAATTTTAATCATCAGCTCCATGAGAAGATGTTTTCTGGCAATCGTTTTCATTGATTCAAGACCCTGATCATTCTTTTTTTCAGGATTCACCGCAGCTGAAGCGAGACTGGCCCTGAGAGGTGCACATGGAGATGTCAATTTGGCTGTGGAGTTAATAAATCGAAAAAAAGAAGAAAAATTTGAAGCAAAGAAGAAGGAGAGAGAAGAAAGGTAATGTTGCTCTCAGACACTTTAATATTTTTCTCAGAAACTGTAAAAATAATCAAACAGATGAAAATTGTGTAGCTTTTTCTTCGCCATATATTAAATACTGCTCAATGGACCAGTAAACAAAATACGAATTTAAGTATTCTGATGAATGTTTCTTTATTAAAATTCCATGTAGAACATAATTTGTGCAACATTAATTACTAAACTTAATTCCTAACCAAGATATCAACATTGTTGATGCATTGATTCAAACTTCTTGCTCATAGAAAAAAACAATAATTTTACTTGAATTACATTGTATACTAAACATTACAATGACAGTCTTTGAAAATACGGCAACTTCAATATTGACGCTTTGGTTCAGCTATGTTAAGTTGTTTATACTTTGAACAACACTGGGTGTGAAAGGAGCAATGCTCGATTGAGGAGCCTGCCAAAACCGTTGTAGTGCTCGATTTGACTCATGTCAAGTACATATTGTTTTTCTTGTGACTGAGCCATTTAAATTTACCGGTACTAATGTAAAATAAAAACGTCTGTATCTTAGTTCGGAGTTAATTTTAGTGATTTTCGTTGAGCGAATCCTGTTCTGCATGAAATCCCGGTCAAGAAATGTGTATCAGAAAGCTCAAAGTCTTATCTTGTCTACTGGTTCAGTGTCAAAGAAATATCTTCTGTAAACATTATTCTTTTCCCCCTGCTCCCAGAAAAACATTCCTCCATTCTTTCAGTCCCTTTTCCTATTTCTAGTCAATTTGGTTTTTTCAAGCAGCAGTTTTCCTTTTTAAATCAGATTCTAAGCATTTTTCTAACTTTTTCTGCAGATTAAGGAAGAAGCTTGGCATGTGCGCAGATGGACGGCAGTATGTTGAGCCTAAGTTTATGAAGCAACTGACAGAGATGGGATACAGTGAAATGCTTGCAATTCATGCTCTTCAAGAAGCAAATAACAGTGTCAGCGATGCTATCCAATATATTCAGGAACACCCAGAAACCAATTTTTTGTCCTCCAGAGAGGACATTATTCAGCAGGTAACTGAGTGTAAAAGGGTCATGGTTCAGCTGTCCTGGTCACAGAATCGTGTTTTGATGCTTGATTCTTGTAGATTAGTTGAAAATAAAAAGAAACGTCCTAATGCCAACTTTCTACGCTCAATATAAACAGAGATAATGCGCTTTGAAGAATTTGCTACATGATGTTATCCATCATGGTAGGGACACCCTTGGTTTCTCCCACCTCGTTTTTATCCGAGTTACATGTTGGGTACCAGAGCACATGTATGTTTCCCCGACTGATGAAAGCAAGGTGAAAGAAACCAAGGGTGTCACCACTGGGGTTGATGACGTCATTAACCAAATTTTTCAAAGCGCAATATCTCGGTTAATATTGAATGTAGAAAGTTGCTATTTGGACATATCTTAACATTTTTGGTTGGTCAGCAAGAGTCAAGCATCAAAACTCGATTCTGAGACCAGCGCACCTTACCTATTTGGTTGACTCTTACCTTACTTTTAAGGGAGGGGCTTCAGGCTCAGTTGAATTTAAAATTGAAATTGGGGAAATTCACCAGAAACACCAATTATAGGTATACTAGGGGGCTACGCCCCCTGGCCGCTACGCGGCCCATTTTTGTAGCCGCAGAGTTAATAAAATTCATATTTTTAAATATTTGTTCAACAAATCTCGGCAAAACTTTTATGATGGAAGTAGTAAGAACCCAATGGACTTATTCAAATGCAAAGTCATGTGAAAACGTTTGATGATGCGCTCAATTTTTACAAAAATCAATCAGATAAATTCAGGTCATCACCAAATATTCTTAGACGTGATCCACGTGGTAATCATAATCAATTATTACTTGATTACATGATTTTTCTTTTAGAAAACTAAAGAAGAAAAAAAATGAGAAGGCAAAAGGATGCGATTCTCAATGATTTATTGATGCTCCATTGCAGTACAACATCGAAATGAGTTGGACAGGTAATTTTAAAATAATCCCAGATCGGGAATCGAACCCACATCACGACATCAATTGGCTCATCTGCCGCCTCAACCAACTCGGCCACTGTCCAGAGTGGGAGGTAGCCGGTGAATCTTGTGTACATAAGTATAGAGCTGATGCGCAGGCTACACATCCACTGCGCAACCTCTCCGACCACTGCGCATCCTCCCGCGCATAGCGGTAGCAGTCCCGGAGCATTCTGTAAATTTACTCACTTTTGTAACGTGATTTTAAAAAAACCTGGGTCCTATTCCAAAATCTAATTAGAGCGGGCTCATCTAGGGCCAATTACCTGTCGATTTACGCAAAAATCATAGAAATCGGCCCGGTAGAACGCTCAAATGAACTATGACAAAAAGTGTAAATTTACATTGTTTAAATGGGAGAATTCGCAACTTTACTACGTAATATAAAAAAACCTGGTTCATATTTTGAAAATCTGAAAAGAGTTGGCTAATTTAGAGACAATTGCCTGTCGATAGCCGCAAAAATCATGAAAATCGGCCCGGTAGAAGGCTGGAACTAAGCGTTACCAGTTACGCAAAATTAGGAGGTCTTGGAGCTTATAGTATAGATATAGATACCGATAGCCAAAAGTGAGACGATGTACCTCCATTTGCGACGTTTTAACCTTACAGTCATAATTTACTTTTTCCTTGGAAAACTAGTCAATGTGATTTCTTGAAAACTTCCCTGATTTCTCTTCTCTGCTGGTAGAACATTCTAAATACATCTTTAAGGTATGAAGTTGACATGTTCCTCTTCGAATAAATAAACTAGGGGCAGAGATTTTTAAACACTGCAATAGAGATATATGTATGTGGTGTAACACTTTAGCAATCTATATATTTAAAAAAAATCTGGATTTGTCATTGATTTTGAAACAGGTCCTTGTAGCTGATTTTCTATGCTCAACCCAAAAATTCACTCCATTGCTCTGTATCAATTCAATTTGCCCTGAAAAATGATACTTTTCCAGAAAAATTCAATTTTCCTGAAAAGTTCTGTATGAAGAAGAAATGTCAGAAACCAACTACAAAAAATACTAGGAAAATGCACTTTATTTTCATGGGTAATGTTCCTTCACTTCATTTTTGTGGAGATTTGATCAACTTATTTTTCTATTACAATCATCGCAACTACACACTTATTTAGATTTTTGGTCACTCTTGATTTATGAGGGGTTGCCCTACTTTTCCACCAATTTGTATATGCTTATTTTATAATCATTCATCCAGTATAGTTTAATATGTACTGAACTTTCCAAAAATTCTGCGCATTAAACTTGTAAAAAGAAGATGGAAATTACACCTCTTGACAGGTCATGACCTACTTCAATTGTTTGAATGAGATAGTTCAAACTTTGAAGTGGAAGGTAGTTGAAGTAGCTGTCAAAAATCTATAATTTGACCAGAGATCTGCTTCATTTTTGCAGGTAAAATCTGTTGGACTGGATGAAACTGCAGTCAAAGTAGCTCTAAAAAAACACAATGGCAACTATCAGAAAGCCATTAACGATCTTCTCCAAAACGCACACACTTTTTTGTCAGCCGGAATGAATGGGTCATGCTGTAAGTATCATCCGTATTCACAAGTTTACTATCCCTTGCAAGCATCCACTATAGATGAAGATTCCTGTCCCAGAGAATGAGAATTGTTGGCAGTTTAATCCATTTTTATTTCAATAGATGGGGTGAAGTTACATTTTATTCCAATACTTGTTAGGTCCTGATATGGCAGAAGGAAATTTTTAATTACTTCCTCTTATAACTTCATTTCCACACCACGAACTTCAAGACATAATTTTTTCCATTTTGCCCAATTAATTTCCGTATTTCCAGTGCCGAAATGTTCAGCAGTGGTAACTATAATTCAACTTGAGTACTTGGGGCCTAATGGTCAGTGCGTCTTCTAGGTTGAGAAGTTCTTGGGATTAAATCCCGGTGATTATGACAGATTTTCACAGAAATGACATAGGAATCTGCAGGAACAAATTCACTGAATCAAAGGAAAGCTTAGAAACATTAGTGTGCTTATATCCACTAATGTCTGATGACAATAAATAAAAACTAACGATGGCTATTGGTACTTAACGTAATACAAGCCAATAAACGGACAGGAAAGAAAAGGCAATTTGGAATTTTTTGACACTTGAGTCCCTTTTCACATTGTCGACCACGTAGGGTAATACTAAAGCATATTCTAGACATTGAAAAATTTCGCTTTTATTTTTCCCCGATTTCGCGGTTATTTTTCCCGAATTTCGCTGTTATTTTTGCTGATTTTGCTGTTATTTTCGTAGCGCTTTTTGCGTTTGACAGCTTAAAATAAAGCTTTTAATTTTATCTAACAAGCCATTGCTCAGTCTCTCTCTCTAAACATTTTACAGAAGAAGCACTTTATTCTTGATTAAAGAATATCTCTTGCTATCTTTTTAAAAGCACTTTCTATCAATATGTATTCGCTTTTTTATTTATTTAAGTGACATTAAATGCATTCTAGTGAGATGCTGATGCAACTTAATACTCAAAAAGGTAAATTAAAAGGTATTAAAGGAACGAAATAGGTAAATTAACTTCGAACCAAAAGATTTTATTACAGAAATTAAATTAAATGGATTAATTTATGCCCCGGTTGCTGCCGTTTCTTTCATCAGTATTCTGATGCCATCGGCGAACGTTGATAGCTAGTAGCCAATGACGACCAATGCTCAGAAACAACTCGGTAATTTCTTATTTTGAAAAAAGCGCGGCAGATTTCGTCTTACACGCATACATACGTAAATTTTACGAAAATGTACGGCTTTCGCGAATTCCGCGTTAAATCCGGAAAATGGCCGATTTCGCGTTATTTCACTTTATATTTTCGTGATCAGGGGGTTCTGATCGGTGCTTCTGTATGGTTTTCAGATTCCTATAAGCACATTTTAAAAATTGCGCCGCAAAATTTTCTAATGTCCATGTATTACTAGGTTACTAGGTACCTACTAGGGTGTATTACCCCCACCAAGAAGTCTCTCGCGCAAGTATCGTGGATAATTGTGGAAGTGGTTTCACTTACTTTGAAAAGGAACGTCCAATATCGAAGGGCAGCTCTGATTAAGATTCCAGCCAATAATAACACCCAAATTCTGATACATAAAAAAGACTCCATCATGTTATCTAAACTTCATAAGGAGCCTAGGAAACTAATGTCTGCTCAGCTTGCTCATTCAAGTGTATTAGACACCTCAAGAGTGTTTTGTCAGTCTCGCCTCATCAATTATAAATTTTGTGCACCATTAATTCAATTTTCTACCTTCTTGTAGCATTCTGGGACAGTCAAAACGATGCGGAAGAGTTGGAGAAGGAGAAAGAGGCTATCAGTAGAATTGCTGATGATTTGAATGTTGAGGCTGAGGATCATTTAGACCTAACATTAATTCAAGAAGAGCAGTTTCTCAGGAAGTATTTAGATTTACTACAGTAAATTGCTCAGAGTGGAACCTTTTTAATGGCTGTGAAAGGAGTTATCATTTTTTCTCTTTCCTATTCCAGTTTTATCTCATCATAACGTTTCTCATGACAACATGTTCCCAGAAACAGAATTCATTGTTTCAAGGCCCTGCCAACCATTTCTTGATTAAGTGCAACTCAAAATTAAGTTTTTCTGGAGACATCGTTCTACTTTCAATTCCCCTTTAAAAACGTTATGACAGGATATGACTGTAATTACTTTTCTGCAACCATTTTCAGTTCAACATTTCTACAGTGGAAATATTTTTGTTGGAGATTTTTTAGTGTTATACTTGGATCCTATCATTGTGTGCTATTTTTTTAAAATTGAAATTGTTTGTTTTTTCCCTGAATATTTTATTAACTCATTTGTATGCAAATACATTTTCTTTCAAGTACATTGCAGTCTTGAGTTTAATATTTAAGGTGATAACCTCATTTACCTATACTTGCGTCATTCAAAAGACACTTTTGTATTTATAGCCAGCAACTAACTGGCAGCTTTTGGATTTAAAGACTACTGTACTCAAGAAAAGCGTAGCAGGAGCATTCAGGCGTTGCCAAATTTTGTATTATGAGAAATTGTTTTTAAGAAATCGTGAATATTTTGAAAATATATATGACATTTTTGGTTGATATAATTCGTAATTTGATCTTAAGTAGGTATCTATAATTTCGAGGACTACTAATCATAACTTTTTGTAACATTATGGCAACAATCAAATATTTACACTGCGTTTTCCCTTGAAGAGCACAATATTCCTTAGCTGATATCAATTGAGGCTACTTTTCGTAAGCGCGTTGATCAATGATCATGAATGGAAGTTGCTACACATTAAGTTACAACACTCGTATTTTAGAATCATAAAAATAGAGCTACATATGCTGTTTTACCTGAAAGAAGATTTGGTAGGATCCTCTGGGATCGTTTACTGATTAACTGACTTTTTTTTGTCAATGCCTCCTTTTCTGAGAAGGCAGGGAACCTCTAAGAGGGAAATTGGTTAGTAAAGATAACAATTAAAACATAGTGTTTGACTAATCCAAAATTTGTAATTACTTACATGACATTATTTACAATGAGAGTTACAAAAAATGGATTATTGTTGCCAAAGATTTAACAATTCAGCAATAACAATGGATGTTTTCTATATCCACGGTAAATAAATCATTCCAGGAAATTCGATTTGACACTGAGAGGGGGTCTAGTGGTTTCCATCAAGAGGTCTTGCTATTGCAGTATGTGATAACAACGAAATTATTTTCCGCAGACAAATAATTATTATGAACTAAGTAAGGTAAAAACAATTTAGACTGGTGGAGCATAGACTAATTTGAACCAGTTTCCGCACATGCAGCGTTTGGGAGCCCCTTTGAATACCCACATCCATTTGATGTGTGAAGAGTCTTCATCACATACACATCCAATAATTCTTGCCTCATAAGCAGAGGGAACTTCGTTTGGTTGTTCTTTAGTTCCAGGGCCACGTTTCCTAGCGAAAACATTGAAAGGATCCTGAAAATGAAAAGTCAAACTTAATGATGATGTTACCGATCTTAATTATTCACCTGCATTACATAAATTTATCATCTGAGTATGGGCATAAGATAAAACTGGCAAAGTTACTGCCACACCCAAATGATAGTGTTTTGTAATACTCTTCTTGCTTGAGTAATAATTTGTGATGATACTTCCAAGAAGTTTTCCTGTGATGAGGTACAACTTGCGTCAAATGAGTTGGCAATTTCATACTTTACTTTCTGTTTGAAAGCGCTGCCGCAGTCCAATGGTGAGCAAGGATTGACCCTAGGTGATAGCAACCCCATTGTGCGGAGATACCAGAAACCGATACCACCCTCTAAAGAGGTATTGTTCAGACTATTTACTACTTGAACCAGCCAAAATTAAAAAGAAAAAAAAGAAACATGCAACAGCCTCACTTGAAACTTGGTTTCGTTTCCTACAATGCCTGAAACCACGTACATGAGTACAACTAATGTCATTCATATTAAAATTTATTTATTGAATTTCATTCTGATATATTTTCCTTAAAAAAAAGGGGGGGAGGGGATATGAAAATGCTGACAACAGAACGTGGAAAAAACGTTTGCGTGCCATTTAAAAATGGATACAGGTAAGATTAAAGATTTTCAAACCACACATTTGGCAAATGAATTGTGTCGTGAAAAAACCACTGATGTCCATTTTCCCAGCTCAAAGTTTTACTGGGTTAAATAATATTTTTCCAGAGTTGATACAACCATGGAAGTGATGCAAGGACTCGTTTTGGCATTAAGAAAAGTAACCTAAAACGCCACCTACCTTTGAAAAGTATGATCAACCCAAAAAAACTCAAGATTGGAAAAATGGACATTATTTAGTGGTTTTAGCACAACACAGTTCAAATCTTGAGGTGAGTTATTGCTTCATGTAAATTCAATCTCCTTACTTCTTGTGGAGTATTTTCGTCATGACCCACAATAAAACCTGCACTTCACCCAGGACGTTTGGTTTTTCAGTACTTAGAATGAAAAGGTATTGCATTTTTTATTAAAAAGATTGAACCAGAAGCAAGTATGCACCCCTTAAGAAGTTTATTTTCAAAAATTTCTCTCAAAGACACCTTACAGATCCTACTTACAGGAGATTTTTTTGTGAAATGGGCTCAAAGCATTTAAGTTGTGGCTTTATTAACTCACATAGTTAGATTGGGGTTAAAATATGTAATGACAATGAGCTGTCGGCCTCCTGTGGTGTAGTGGTTGTAGTGCTGGCCCTATGACCAAGAGGTCCCAGGTTCCATTCCGGACCAGGTGATCTGAGTTTGATGGTCTCAGGCACTGGTCACCTGGGGCTGGGGTAATAAGGGTGGGATTAGCCAATACACTATTTGAAATTGGTAAAAAAAAAAAAAAAAAAAGCTATACAGAAATGAAAATAAGAAAACTTACCGGATTACCAGCCAACTCAGCAAGGATAATACGTTTCTGTAACCCTGTTGTGAACTCAAGAGGGTCGGGAAGATCTGTGAGAATAGGAAAACAAAAAATTAATTGAACAAAAACAAAAGATCACATTGAGTCATGTCAAAGAGAATAAATGGAAGGGAAGTGGATTCACACTTTCCCTCTTTAGATTGCAGGAGAATTTGATATTCATCTTTTGGACAGCAATTCGAATGAAACCAAAAATTTCTTTGCAGATAGAGGAACTTCTACAAGTGATAATAAGATGTTCAAAGTGTGTATGCTGGACTCTTTCAGCGATTTCTATAAAATTAGAGAAGTAGCTCTCCTCTACATATCTTTGGAACTCTCATGTCTACATAGTGAAAACGTTTCAAATTCAATTCCTAGAACACATTTGAGAAGCAGAGAGCAGCAAGCCTTAATATCTGAAAGTTTGGAGATCTTCATTATCTCACTAAATGGCTCAGAAATATGGAACACTTGCAAAATTAGCTATTTACATGAAAGTAAGTTAAATGTGCTTATCACAAAATGTAGTAAAGCTAATTCCTTTCAATGCATTTGTTGCTTTGATTTTCCTTGGCCTTGAATCTAGTCCTTGTGACAAATTCTATCCTGTTTGATGACAGTTGTGACCCATTCTCACTCCTTCTACAGTATATGGCCTTGCCTCCATGGACCATTTCACAGGATTTGTTCCAGGGAAAAATCCTACTTACGAAGTTTACACAAATATTCAGTTAATCAATAATTATCCCCGTACAAAGTATGGTTCTTGTACCCCTAAGACTGACTGAAAGAGGAAGAAGTGAAAGCGAACTGTGCAATATTTTGTTGTTCGCTCAATTTTTCGTGTTTGTTTAATTAAAATAATGTTTAATTCTGGATCGCATTGCATTATATCTTCATGACCGTTAAATACTCCATTTTTACTTTAATTACTTTTTTAATTACTATCAATTACTATTTTACTTTTAATTTATCTTCTCGGGCCAACTTGTCAAAAGATCGGGAGTGCCCGATCTTGTGGAGAACTGGGAAAAATCCTAGAAGTTTCATTCCTGCAATTCTACCCTGGGACAAATCCCATGAAAACATCTCGTGGAGACAAGGCCATAGATGGTATCAAAATTTTATCAATAAGTAGAGACATTTGCCCCCAACTACTAATGACATCAAAAATTTTGGATGGGTGCTGTCTGTGATAAATTTTAATTTCAAGCAGGGGGCGAAAAGTTTGGCATTTTCAACTGTTCCACGTAGATGTGAAATTGCCCATAAATTTATCCACTCACACACAGCATAGCAGAAATTGCTTCGCAATTGTCTTGAGTTGCAATTCAAGCATATTAAATGGTTATGAACAAATAATATGAGTCTGTAAAAAAAATTTCTGATTTTTGATAGGTCAACGCTAAGTAATGTCTGATAGGTCTCAAGTTGAAGGTTAGAATAAATAATAATTTCGACGACGAACTCTTTGAGAGGATTCTGAAATCATATAATAGAATAGCAATGGATGAATAAATATTATAATCAATGCTGAAGTATGATTTCATGGTTATTATGGTTGTGGGAACAACTCTGCAAAAACAATCTAACCTCAAATTGAAAGGTCATGGGTAGGGCAAGGGGAAATGCTGATGTTAACTACCAATTGTGGAGCTGGTTGGGACGATCGACGTACGAATTAGGTAGAATAGCCTGTTCACATATACAATCGGAGAAGAAATAGAGCTAATGGCTTTGGAAAGTGCTGCGTATGAAGGGTTTGAGTGCAGCTTCAGCAACGCACAGCCTAGCTTTCAGTGCAACTTGTGCAAAGCTATTGGAACATTATCTTTAGGACTTGAGTGGTGATCTTGCAAAGATAACTTAGAGTGCACAGATCTAATTTGAGGTATGCATACATTATATAAATTGCGTCTTCAAGCATTTGTTGATTGACTCAAGGTAATGATTAAATGAAGAGTATTCGGGAGAATGAGGTGTTTAAGGTTACCTGGGTAGTCTTCTTCCTCTTTTCTGAATAACTTTGCTGAAGTGTAAACATTTCGTCGAGATACCCTCGCGACTGATCTGACTAAAGCTGAGGTTAAAGCCATGATCTTCAATAAATTACAAATATTTGGATTATCAGGAAAATCACTAAAGGCCCCAAAAGCCCCAAACACCAATAATCAGCTGTCGACAGAATGAAGTAAGAGTACTTTACTTCACAGACGGAACCCACCACCTCGATTCAGAGAAGTTACATGAAAGTTGCATAATTTTCATAATTTTGCCTTCTTGTAATCACATGCACTCGAAATTTCCTCACAGTGAATAGAATTTTGCTTTTTTGTCTCTTTTTTTCAGAATTAGTTCCATAAAATGTTCTGTAAATTGTATACATAACCGTAAAAAGTTGCCTTTGGGTACATTACAATCTGCAACCTGCAACACACGGCCCCGCAAAGGTTGGAGGAGGGCTCTCCTGTATCTATCATATTTGTCCATCCATGGTTCTTTCATGGCCTCCTCAGTCCTCTTGATGAAAACAAGGTAGATTTACACAGGTATGGACAGAACTAAACAACTGGCCTCTGATTGGCTCTCCAGCGGCCCCTTAACGTCAGTCATTTTGGATGTTATGATTATTTTGATTTATTATGTTCGGTTTACCGTTTGTCAAAATTTTGTGGGATTTTTTGCATAATTTTTGTTATGCAATATTAATTTTAGAGTTTAAACGCACAAACGTTTGAATGTTAATTTGATTGTAATTTAATTAAAAAACGGGCCCCTTAACCTACGTCACGAGGTCATGTGACACGTACTGAGGCTCATGGGAAATTTTCAACTTTTCCATACCTGTGTAAATCTACCTTGTGATGAAAGAAAAGCCTGTTTGTGTTTGGCGGTGTCAGTCATTTGTGAGTGAAAAATTATCGTGTTTTCTCGTTTTTTTCACATCTTATGAATTCACAGTAAGTTTCAGTAAGAATTTAAATCTATGAATACTTTAAATTTCATGACACTTCATTCTCACACCTATTTCATTGAAAGATGCTTTCGGATAAAAAGATGAATCTATCCGGTTAAGGCATGATTTTGCTCCTGTTAACCATGGGCTTGCCACGTTTTTACTGTTCATTTCTGTTTGCAATATCTCAGTTTTCTATCTATTCACTTTGAGAAACTAATCCATGTAGATTTTCATGGCCTAGTCAGATACAGACATTTTTATATTCACTTGTTTCCTCCCAATTTCACCTCATTGTAAGGCATTTGTGTAGGTTAGCTCTCGGAAACTGCACTGAAGCAGTTGAGTTTTGAAGTGTCGTTTTGCAGTCATCACTCGCATGTACTTGCTTTCAAACGGAACTTCCTGCTTCTGTAAAATTGAAGCCCTTATTAGTCCAAATATCTTATCAATCTGCATCTTTGCTCTGATTAAGGCAATGATAAGTCAACAGTATCATTACAGCCGAGACGTTAGGAAAGTTTTGTTTACTTTTAGAAATCGATGAAGTCAAACAATTGATCTGAGCTTAAATTACCATTTTCGAATACTCATTTTTAGTTAAGTGTTTTGAAACTCCTCTAAGGATTTCTATTGTAAACAACTGACCAGTTGTGTAACATGCAAGAATCAGCTCTCTCCAAGTATTGCCTTATGATGTAGATGTTATGCGTCAAGCGCTATGAATCTTTTATTCTGACTACGGCTAGTCATGGTTATCAAACCTTTTTTTAACGAGTTTTACCAAGTATCTTTTTCTGTTTCAGATGATCATCCCGGGATCAAAGATCAACAAAAAGAATGGGGAGCCAGACGCCTTCGAGTCTCAGATTGCCAAGACTCTCCTTGAGTTGGAGATGGGAAGTGATCTTAAGGCTCAGTTAAGAGAACTCTACATTACTAAAGCAAAAGAAATTGATGTTGGAGGCAAAAAGGTAGAATCTTTTTCTCTCATCCGTGTCTAAAAGATCGTATTCACTAAAATCGATTGTTTTCTAGTTGTCCATTCTTTGCCTGCCAGGTTGATGAGCTAATTAGAGTCAGTTTACATTCAATTTTGAGCTCTAAACTGTAGTAAATTCTTCAGCACTTTCTCTAGCATGAAACAATGTGCACCCAGGCAACATTGAATGCGAGGAGTTGCATACCATCATGAATTGATTCTTGTGGAAGTTAAAGCTTTATGTCTCCCTCACTGAAAACTAGTCAAAGTAAATTTCTCTCTTTTCAACTATCTACTGAATTTTTTGTTTTTTATTCAGTCTTCGGTGTTCTTATGAGCTGAATTAGTTAGCCTATAAGGTCAAGTAGGTCCAATATCAATTTGCAGTATGATTGCCACCAAGAAGTTTATCCGTAGTTGTATTGATCTAACTTGCTCACAGTATAAAATTAGTGAATTTTCATAATTGGGGTGATCTAAAGAACAGCTCAAAACTCTGGTTCAGGATTGCATTCTCATGGGATTAAGTGACCCCAAGGAATCAGATGAAAATATTTTCAGCTTCTTAAAACTTCTTTTCGTGGTGATAGAATCATCTGGTTTTTGCAAATTTCACTTTTAAGGAGTATGTTTTTACCAGAGATTCAGATTCTACGAAGAAGAATAAGAAATTTTTTTCCAGACAGTTTTTCCTAGGACCGCTCTTCTTTTACTTGTGGTACATTTTTGTGGGTCATGAAAGTTCCAACTCTCACAAATGAAATGCAATTTCTTGTTCAATCATATTCTACTTAAGTTGTACTCTTTTAAATAGTATTTTCAATTTTTTTTGTTTGCAGTCAATCATCATTTACGTGCCTATGCCCCAATTGCGATTCTTCCAAAAAGTGCAAATGATCTTAGTGCGCGAATTAGAGAAGAAATTCAACGGCCGCCATGTAGTATTTGTAGGAGATCGTAAAATTATCCCCAAGCCCAAGAAAGGTTCCCGCAGACCAAATAAACAAAAGCGGCCCATGAGGTACTCTTACTTCTTATCTACTCTCAAATACTAAATCTAAGTAAATTTTGCAATCTGATGACTTTCCAAAGGTCAAATTCCTTTGCCAAATAATGTGTATTGAATGCATGAGACTACACAGTATAATTTTTCTCGTTTCTCACTGTATCTTCGGATTGGACCTATTAAAAAATAACAGTGAAATGATGATGATAGATAGTAATTTTTCCCGGATCAATTCTGTTCATTCCGATAGCTCTGCTTTGACAAATGTCATAGTCACATGGTCAATTTCCATCTTATTTTGTGTCGTCAAATTTAAGGAAATGGGTGAGGTTTGAATGTTCCCCCTCTTTCAAAGCTTATCCCAGTCTTTTGTGTTCCTTTTTACCAGCTGGTTGGTCTAAAGGGTCAAAAAAGACTAACATAAAACTGCAATCTAGAAATCTCATGGAAGTTCCTCTTCTCTGAATATTTCTAAATTTTGCAGACAGTTTTGATGGATCATGTTCTTACCTAGGGAAAGAACCCCGCTTACTCATTATGGAAATGTATACCACAATTGATTTTTAATTTTTTATTGTTTTAAACTCGTCTTTGTTGCGCCAACTTTTTAAGAGGCACTGTTTTCACACTATCCGCGGAAAATTCTTTGATTATTCCTTGCCTGAATGAAGGTAATGCAGTGCTAGAGAATGGTTCCGGCCAGTTGAGTGAGTGTAAATCTCGGATTCCACATGCCTTTCCTTTTCTCTTCACTCCATTATCCTTATCAGATGGACACACGCTGCATTTAGATTTTATCTGACCAGTCCTGGAATATAGTGAAACTACATTCGCGGATTTGCAAAAACGGTGGCTCGTAGAAAGTTGGCGCAATGATGACTTTTGATCAGCATCCATAGAAAAATTAAAAACAATAAAATAATCCAAAATCGATCGTGGTACACATCTCTATAAGCAGTACACAGGGTCCTTCCTTTGAATTCAGTTTCAAAATCTTCATGGAACTTCCTCTTTTTATAAGACACAAATTCACTTGACAATCAGTGTCATTTTTTCTACTTTGTCGTTTTACCTAAAGCTGGTTTCAGTCTTTTGTGTTCCTTATTATCTATTAATTGGTCTTCAAGGGTCAAAAAAGACGAACATTGAACAGCAATATCTCATTCTCATTGAAGTTATTCTTCTTTGAGTATTTAGAATTTTTGCAGACATTTTTGTCAACACGGAGTCAACAAAAAGTTAATTTTCTCTGAACATTCCTCATTTTTGTAGACATTATCTACTTGTTAATTAATCCCAATTGAGATTCATAAGCTGCGGAAACTTTCTCCTTTTCAAGATGGACTTATTCACTTGTCGATCCACGTTAACTTTTCTCCTAGGTTTTTCTTCAGATAAAAAACAGAATTCTATTGTAACTTGGGAACGGTCCAAGTTTTTGAGTTTCATTGTCATGAGATCTAACAGAAGCTGTCTCTGAAAATTACTGGGCCAGATTGCAACGTATTAGCATGTTCTGTGTCGATTTGGCAATACTTACTGTTAGAGGTTATTTGACAAATTGGTCTTCTTTTAAGATGGGTCATTTTCTCTTGTGAAACTTAGTGCTTCAGTTTCATTTCTATTGAGTAATAAAATGGCAACTGCTTTTAACCTTTAAAGTGTAGCTTATCAGAAGAACGTGTTCATCAAGAATTCTGTATTGCCAAAGGGAAAGCTCTAATCTGGTCCAGCAAATTTTCATAGTTCCTTGTTACACCTCCCAAGGATGGAGAAATTCAAATGGTTGCTAAGTTAAAGAAGAATCCTTGGTTTTTTGGGTCCCTCTTTATACTGAAAACTCATTTCAGTCTTTTGTGTTCCTTATTGTCTATTAGTTAGTCTTAAGGGTCAAAAAAGACTAACATTAAACAGCAGCCTCTAATTCTCATTGAAGTTATTCTTCTCTGATTACTTAGAATTTTTGCAAACATTTTATGCGTAGCAAAGCAAAGACAACAGCCCATTCGGCTCATGCTCAAGAATTTTTCCAAAGAAATCACTTCACCTCCTTGATAATATTTTCCATCCAAAAGTCTTTTAGCAAACTCAATTTCGAACTCTCTTACTTACTTCTTTTTCTGTTAAAATCTTTATGTTCAACATTTTTGGAAAAATCGAGTTAGTTGCGTTTTCAAAATCTCCATGAACGGTTCCATGTGTGTGTGAAAAATACTGTAGCCTTATCTTACGCCTGGTTATGAGGTATGGAGTTTCAAAAATTGCGATTCAAATTGGAATCAATGGGCCCGACGTCCAGTTTTCCCATGATATTTCGAAACGACTAAAATAAAGTACCGAGGTACCTTTTGGCTGTGGGGTACTGATACAGGTAGGCATGAGTCTTGAAGCAAGTTTTTGTTAATAGAGCTCAAATTTAATAACTGTACACCACCAATGTATGCATGACGATTTCTGCATTTATTTGCATGATTTTTACTGTATTCATGTACTAATTAATAACAATTTATCTGTTTAGCCGAACCTTGACAGTAGTGTATGATGCACTTTTAGAAGATCTTGTATTCCCTGCTGAAATTGTTGGCAAAAGGATAAGGGTGAAATTAGATGGCAAGAGGCTCATGAAAGTTCATCTCGATAAGCTACAACAAACAAATCTTGAACACAAGGTATTTCCAACTTGGCTCACCATTATCATCATGATTCTTCCT